AAACTTGATTAACACGCTTCGTTTGTCCATCAGTTTGAAGATGGAATGCCGAAGATAGTTTTATATCCACTTTTAGAATCTTGAAAAGAGTCCGCCAAAATCTTGATACAAATTGAGTTCCCCTATCTGATACAATATCCTTGAATAATCCATGATACTGATAGATATTGTCAAGAAAGAGCTTACCTATTTTTTTACCTATAATAGATTTTATATATGGTACAAAATGTGCCATCTTGATAAAATGATCTACTATCACAAATATAGATTCATAAGAACTTGAGATTGGAAGATTCGTGATGAAGTCCATAGAAACAAAAGACCATGGTTGTTTTGGAATGGGTAATGGCTGAAGAAGTCCAAAAGATCGATGCTAAGGAGTTTTTGATCTTGAGCAAACATCACATGAATGTACAAAATCTTTGACTGCCTTCCATATTTGAGGCCACCATAAATCCCTAGATATTAGCTCCAAAGTTTTATTGTATCCAAAATGTCCTACTACTGGAAAGTCGTGACGAGCTTGAAGAATACGTAAACGTGCTTCTCCTTCTGGAACATATAGACGTCTTTCAAAATAAAGTAGGTTGTTCTTGAACTCGAATTTAGAGGGATCATGAGATTTAGAAGAATAATTCTTGATATCATGAAGAAGATTTGAAGACATACTTAACTGGACTTTCTTTAGAAAAGTTAAATCAACAGTCAATGTTGATTTTATTGCTCGAAGATGAAATTGCTCCGCCTTCAAGAGAATTATTCTTTGTAGCTCAAAAGCTACATTTCCTTCTTTTGGTACAAGATAAGAACGTCTAGACAAGACATCAAATAAAGCTTGTTATTTTTCTAGCCGATAAGTAATGATGAACTCGAATCTTAATAAAGACATGCTCCAACGAGCTTGACAATGATTTAATACGTACACTGACATGAAATACTTGAGGTTCTTGTGATCTATATACACGGTGACTGGACTGGAAGTGCCTTCCAGATAATGATGCCATTTTTGAAAAGAATCCACAATTACAAGAAGTTCTTTGTCATTGATCTTATAATTGATTTTTGCTGCTGAGAATTTTCTTGAATGAAAGGCTACTAGATGAAGTTTGTCATTTGTTCCCATTTGTAATAAAATCGCACCCAGAGCAAAGTCTGATGCATCTGTTTCTATAAAGAATGCTTTAGAAAAATCAACACGATACAAAATTGGTGCAGAAACAAACGTTGTGTTCAAAGATTCAAAAGTAACTTTTGCTTCTTGATTCCATTACAGTTTGTTTTTACAACTCAAACGTGAAAGTGGAGCTGCAACTCGAAAAAAGTCTTTGAAGAAGATCCGATAGTAGTTGGCAAATCTCAAAAAGTATTGGACATCTCTTATCGTTTTTGGGATCTTCCAATCTATAATAGTTTGAACATTCTTAGGATCCATCATAAGTCCATCATTTGAAATGATGTAACCTAAAAAATCGACTTGAGTAGTATGGAATACACACTTTTTTATCTTGGCATAGAGTCCTGTATCTCTTAATTTTTGTAATACATGACGAACATGAAGTTCATGTTCTTCTTGATTCTTAGAATAGATCAAGATGTCGTTTAGATAATAGACATCAAAATCGTCCAAAAACTCTCAAAAAAAATCATTCATTAGATGTTGAAAAGCTGCTGGTGCATTTGTAAGTCCAAAAGGCATGACATTGTATTCAAAATGTCCATACCTAGTTCAAAACGTAGTCTTTCATTCATCTCCTTCTTTGATGCATACTAGATTGTATGCTTTCCGGAGATCTATTTTTGTATAGATCTTAGTTTGATATAGCTGATCAAAAAGTCTAGATATTAAAGGTAGTGGATACATGTTCTTGATGGTAATCTTATTGAGTCCTCGATAATCAACACACATGCACAATGATCCATCTTTTTTCTTCACAAATAGAATTGGAGCTCATATTAGAGATTTAGAATGGCGTATGAAATTCTTGGCTAGATTTTCTTCAATATACTCCTTAAGTTCAGTAAATTCATTTTGTGATAAACTGTAGATTGGTCCAAATGGTGGTTGTGCTCCTTCTTGAAGGTCAATTGAGCAATCATAGGGACGATGTTCTGGAAGTATATCCACATTTTTTTTTTCAAATACATCTTAAAATTCTCGATATTGGCTTGGAATGCCACTTGAAGTCTTTCCACCATTAGAAACAGGTGTGGCATAAATAATATATGGTAAATCTTTCATAGCAGCATGCAAGAAAGCTTTTGCACCTTTAAATATGGATTTAATTGAACTGGACTTATGACTCTCTACTTGATTAACTACACTTTTAGTTATACTTTTAGAAAAAGTAAGAGTTTAGAAAATCCAATCTATTTGAGGGTTGTATTTTTTTAACCACGATAAACCTAAAATGACTAGATTAGAGGGAGATCTAATGATATTAAATACTACAAAGCTATTATGACTATTGATTATTACTTCTATAGGAAGAGTTTTGTGAGTAATATCTCCAGAAGACAATGGACGATCATCTATGACTTTTACATGAACAAGTTTAGTTTTCTTTACTAAAGATATGCTATGTCTTTTAGTATATTCTTCATCTAAGAAACATGTTGAGGCTCTTGAATCTAACAAGGCAGAGGCTTTGTAATATTTAGGTTCTAAAATAACATTTAATATAAAACAAGGAGAAGGCTCTGACGAGACTCCACCAGAAAAGCTTCTAGATTATCCAATAATGGATCTTGTCATTCAAAAAAAGATGAAAACCACAATAGTACTGAACTTGAAAAAAGCGTGCCAATGAATCTAATTTGCAATCCTAAAATTGGATAGCTTTAGGATTGAAGTTCAATCACAAGTTGCACTTGATTAATAAATCCTTGAAACTTAGATCTGGTACCATCAAACTTCTCGGATAGGACAATTTTTGGTTCTCTAACACTAGAAGGACATTCCGCCATAGGAGAAAGGACATGATTTGGTACAGATGTTGAAGCAGCTCCAACCATTTTTATATCTTCACTTCTTGCCAATCTTATTGCTCCTTGTGGTGGTAAATTGAGTTGATGTATCGCAAGCATTAATTCTCTCAATTGCTCTTGTATTTGTGCCATTGCACTCTTTATTTCAAGAAGTTCTGCCATGATAACACTAAGAAAAGAGAAGATGTCTAATATCACTCAAGACAAATAAAAGAGAGGACTTGAGAACAAAAAAAAATACTAAGGACAATATCAGTTTAGAAGAGGGTAATCTGCAACTTTTAATATACTTATATCTTATCAAAAAAAGTAGTAATCCACTCTTAATCAAGATAAGACAAAGCTCTGATATTATAGGTGTACTCTTGTCAATCTATCAAGGACAAGAACTTGATGAAAAAGTAATTGAAATAAGTGAGCTTTCACTCAAAAAAAGGTAACAAAATATAAATAAACAAGTATGTATATTGAAAGAGAAATTGGAATGGCTATTGTCAAAAGACAAGAAAACTAGAGACCCTTGAAACTAGACTGGAAGTAAGGAAGGAGTTTACAAGAGTGAAGAAGACTTCACTCTTGTCTCTAAATATACTATCTAACAAGAGGTTACGTAGTGATGTTCTATAGGACCTCCAATATGTGTTGAATTTGTAGGACACATGCCTTGACTTACAAGGTAAGTTTTTCTACATATGGGCCACATAGTTAGCTTGGTCTTCAAGCTAACAACATGTGTGGTACATGGCCAACTTGTTGACCACGTTTCTAATCCAAAAAATCAATTAAAGATACCTATGAAGTCAAAGCAGCATCTATAAAGCTTCTAACAAGCTTCCATATCAAATACTATAGAATTAACTTACTTTTACCTACTTTTACGTACTTCTACCTATTTATATATGTAATTACTGACTTACATGAGTATATCCATCACAGCTTGTAAAGCTTAAGAAACTTCTTGAATCAAGTTTTTTTAAAAGAAGAAAGATTTTTCAATTCATTTGGCAAGCTTGTCAAGCTTAAGCATCCACTCATATCAAGAGTTTTTTAAAAAGTTAAGTTTTTCAATTCTTTTGACATTATATTTAAAATTTTGTTATGAAGTAATTTTATATTTGTTAAATTTTTAAGATTTTTAAATCCTTTTTGTACTACATTGAGTTCAATATCTCTATCTAAATCAAGTCTCATTAATGTAGTAGTTGTAAACAATGTTTTAGGTAGTGGTTTATGAAAAGTAAATCCTATTAGACTCAATATTATCAATTCTTCAAATACTTTTCAAAACTCTTTGTTGCATATTGCAGAGGGCAGCTTTATTTTTTTATTATAAACCTGAAAAAGATGATTATTATTTCTTAGTAACAAAATTTTTAACTTATTTGCATTTTTAACCAATAACATAAGTATTTTAAAGACATCTTTACTTTTCTTTGTAACAATGTTACATATAAGAATTCGTAAAGAACAAAAGTGTAATCCTTTGATGATAAATCTTCTTAAGATATCTTTCATATTATAATCAAAAATTATACCTTCTAACTAATCAACATGATAAGAAAATAATTAGTAATTAAAATCCAAAGCTTTATCAAGTACTTAAATTATGTACAAATCTCTAAGTATTTCACATTATAACATACAAGTAATATAATGTTGTTCCTAATAAATATTAAAATATCTTGTACTTTATTTTCCTTAAATATTTATTTTATGTCAATAATTATATTTAAGTTATTCTATCACAATTTGAAAGTATTACCTTTGATGTTATTCAATGCATTGGCACCATATTTGCATTCCAAATTCGTGTGTCTTTGTATTCTTTTTCTTCTTCAACAATCTTTCGTTCCATATCTTGTAACTAATCATGCACTTTTATTACTCCATCTTTTTTCTATTTTTATCATTGATTGATGAACCAACATATCCAAAACAATACTTCCATCTTGCTCTTCAACTCCACTTTGCTTATTGGTCCATATTTGTATTATAGTATCTTTTATTGTACCATCCTATTTCACATTATTACAAAAGAAGCAACATATATCCAAAAATAAATTCTTTTCTTTAACTTTTAAGGTATCAAAACTTATCTTCAAAATAGTCCATAGCTTATATTCACTATCTATTTCATCTCCATCCAAAGGTCTTCTTCTTCTTAACTTTTGCAAAGCTCTTTTCCAACATTTCAATCTCTTTTGTCCTCCTAAAAATGACTCCAAAACTTTCAAACTCAAGAACAATCCATTACAAGATCTTACAATTTCTTTGCCAATCTCAATAAGTTCTTTAGGCAATTCATCACCATTCCTATAAGAATAAGCTGTAAATAACTTCAAACTTGTAACTTTGACAAGTTCTTCAATATCAAATTTATGAATCTTTGTAGAATAGCTTTTTACTACCTCTCAATTTCGAGTTGTCACAATTAATATGTTACCTTTGTTAAAATGTAGAACATCCAAAAGTACTACATCATTGATTTGATTCTTGTCCTTCACATCATCTAAGACCAACATAAATTTTTTGCTCATCAATACTTGTTTCATCATAGCTTGTACTTCTTCTAAATTCTTTAATTTTGATTCAAAGTTTAGTTGGTTCAAAACTTTGCAAATTATTGAAAGACCATTATCATTCTTTTGAATACTTTCAACAAAGCATGAGACATTCTACATGTGTTGCATGGTATCAAATGTAATCTTTGTTAATGTAGTCTTTCCAATTCCACCCATACCAACAAAACACAATATATTTATTCCATTCTTGCATAATTGTTTCATGTTTGACAAACGTCGTTCTACACCCATTATATTGTCTTTACAAACATGTCTCTGCTCAAATAATCAAATCATGATTTTAAAATAATATATAATTTATGCCAATCTCTAAAAAAAAAAAAAAAAAAAAATCTAACCACATATTCATATTTTGACAAACCAATTTCATTAAATTACACATATTTAAATGTATAGATCTTGAAATCAAATAAACCAATACAATGTTTATATTACACCAAATCTCAAATATAAAGTTTACCAATGTATCATCAACATCAACATCTTTTGATTTATTCCTTTCATGATCTTCTTTCTTAATTGCTCCAAAATGAGGTATTTTGGCTACATCAATTCCTACCAAGTATTTTTTCTTCAAAGTTGTGAGTCTCTTGCAAATGTCTCCAAAACTAGGTCTTTTAGAAGGATTCAAAGTCCAACATTCTTTAATCAATTTACTCAAATCATTACAATTTAAAGGCAACTTTCATCTTTTACCGCTTTCAATCTTTTTTAATAATTCTTCTTTAGAGTATATACTATTAAATTGATCTTTACCTAAAAGAATCTTAGAACATGTCATTCCAAAAGAATACACATCCGCTTCAAAAGTACACATCTTTATTGATTTTATTGTACTTTTCAATATCTCTAGAGCTGTGTATCTTAAAGTCCCATATATGTATGTATTTTCTTTAATTTTTGGATTCCTACCTACATTGATCTTTGAACAACCAAAATCAATCAACTTCACAATAGGATGATGAAAACCATTATTAGATTTACCATCATTTAAAGTATTAAGTAGCACATTATCTGACTTTAAATCTCAATGTACAATTTACATGTCATGTAAATAACACATTCCTCTTGCAATTTGATAAATAACATCAATAAGAAAGTAGTATGGCATTGCTCTTTCTACCTCCAATATGTTGCTCAAACTTTTTTGCATCAATTCCATCACCAAGTATACTTTCTTCTTTGAGTAATTCAATGTTGGAGACTCTCCATTCCTATTTGCATCACTTTTGGCAGCATAATAATATTTGATCAAGTTTGGATGGCTTGTAATAGCCAAGATACCTATTTATTTTATGAACATATCATTCCAACTAGCATCCATTATTTTTGTTGCAGTTGCAAGTCCAAAACACTTTGATTCATAAACTTTTCCAAATACACCCTCATTTATAATTCTTCCAAGCTCTAAACTTTTGATATCACTTGATACTTCCAAAAAATCCATCTCTCCATCTTCTACATACCACAAGTTTGTCAATCATATTGATAGATAGTTTACCAAGTCATGATCTTTAAATTGAGTATCTTTACTTTTATGGTCCAATCTTTTGAAAAGTTTTTCACTATCACGTTTAACTTCTTCATAAGTTGAAACATCAAACAACATGGGTGTAATGACCTCCATCATTTTTGGATACTTCTTTGATAATTGATCAATTCCCACATCATAACAAGTCTTTAAGTCCCATAATAACTCTCTAAACATTTCTTTGTTTTCCATTTGAAAGATACTTGCTTCACACCATTGTTCTTGTGCACAAGCTTTTATCAACTTGTATATCTTCAATATTGTACATTGAAATTCACAAAATAAAACTTTATACTCACTTCTTCCATTGCTACAAGCTCTCAAGACTTCAAATACTTTGATAACACGTCCAAGTGATTGGCAAATATTTACACATTATTTTTTATTCAATATAACTTTAGTCTTCAATAATACCTCCATTTCTTGATTGTAATTATAGCATTGAGTAAGTACATCTCCAATATCAACTTCTCTTGCTTTTAATACAACTCCAATATCCTTTACAAATTTGTTACAAAATTCCATGGCAAGTGAAAATCCCAATGTACAACAATCAAATAAAAACCTCCACATTGCTAAGACATGCTTCATAAACATCTTAACAAGATAGGCCATTTCAAATATTTAGAAATATCAATGATGTACATACCTCAAAATAAAACTAGAAATTGATTCTTGAATTTACTTCCTCATCATGCAACTATAGATTCTTGAAATGTTCTTCAATTGCTACAAAACTTTCACACGTAGACAACATATATATGAACAAAATTGATTAATATATAAATTATTATACATGATTCATACAAATAAAATTGATTCATATCTTTGATAATGATTAAACTGGATCATTTTCTCAATATACCATCCATCTTTCAATAATTATCTAATAATAATAATTCTTCTTATTTTACTATAAATATAATATGCCATAACACTATTCTATTTAAAATGATATCTAATCCTCTTATTAAGTTTATAAGCTTTTTTTTTTCAATCTTTTATATTTCCTAAATCAATCATTATACAAATAATACAAATGAAGTAATCAATCAATGAAAAGTCTACCCTATGCAACAAATGGATCAATAGACTCAAAATCTTAGTAAACAAACAAGTTTGAAGATGTTCTCACCATACTCTAACTTAAAGAACTCTTCTATCCTTTAAATCATTTAGATCAGCTCCTATTTCATAATCCAATGACACACAAGCCTAGCCAAGATACAATTGTGATATGTTGTTCAATGCACAGTCATCATCTTCTTGCCAATCAAACTTCCGCTATATTAACATCATAAGTTACAATATCTACAATATTCAATCTTCTTATTAAAAATCCAAAACCTCTTGATTGTTCATGGAGTTGCATAGGATATATCAAACATGAATTTATGATCAACCTTATATCAGAGACATGAATTGAAAAGAAAGAAAATCCTTAATACACTCTTTTGTCACCAAAAAGAACTAGAAAGTCACTCAAAGTGGATATAATATTGAACAAGAATGGCTATTGTCAAAAACAAAAAGATTTGAAAGTCTTTAAATAAATCTAAGGACTAGAAAGGCATTGACAAGAGTGAAGAAGACTTCATTCTTGCCTCTATATATACTATGTAAGTAAGGGCTTTTGGCAATAATCTTTAGGACCTCCAACATGTGTTGACTTTGTTAGCTTTATTTTAACTTACAAGGCAAATTATGTATGTATGTACCATATAGTTAACTTGTTTTACAAGTTAGCACATGGAATTAACTTGTTCAATAAGTTATCATTACGTGATTAATTTATTTACCAATTTTGTAATCTATAAATATATTTAAAGTCAAAATTACATCTATGAAGCTTCTCAGAAGCTTTTCTAAAAGACTTTATGAAATTAATCTACATTTATGTACTTCTACCTTTTCATATAGTTAATTAGAGTATTTATATATATATCCATGATATTATCCTCCTTTTTAGAGATAAGTTCCACAAAGAGTAGTCTTCATATATTAAAAAAATCAAAGATACTACAAATTATATTTGCCACATACTCTGATCTTTACTTTCTTTGAAGATGGTTGATAGGCCCTCTTATCCATCAATTATTTTCTATACTAAGGCAAGAAGACCACCTTCTTATTTAATTGTTGTTTAGGCCTTCATAACTTCTTTCAAATAAAACATTTGAAACACCATCAAAAATTGTTCCTACTTCTAATAAAATCATCAAACATCAAGAGTCTCTTCTAAGGTTGTAATACCAAACTTGTTGTAACTTACCATCTATTTAAGAAAAGATATGTTATTCTTAAAGATCTTCATCTTCATTTTTTGTCTTAAAGATTGTGACAATCAAAATATCTCGTTTGTTAAGTCCACAAATAAAAGCTCTTAAGTTGAATCTATTAGTTATTGGTTCTTCATCTTTTTAGCATCATAAATATATAAAAGCTACAAAATAAAATAAAAGCTAGAATATTATCTTCTTTTGATCTTGTTTCTTTTGTAGCTAAATTTTGTAATTCTTCATCTTAATTTTGATGGATGTTGTCAATGAAAAGCTTCAATTCTCTTTGCTGCATTTACAAGATTCTTTATTAGCTGCTATGTGTATTCAATAATATAATATTTATACTAATGAATAAGATATTCCAACCTATTTTGGTACCTCCTTCAATCTAAGACTTCTTCCACTTCAAACTCTTAATTATTATCCACTTTTATAAGAGGAGGTGGTATTTATCTTATTCATGAGATATTCATTGTCTTATATGGCTTATGAAGGGATACATGGAATACAAGGTAGATCTTCACATACTTTGATAAATATAATTGATAAGCAACAAGATTGACTTATTTACTAATAGAAAAAGGTCCAAGCCTATAATAATTTAACTTTTTACAAAGATGGCTAGTCTTGATATTGCAACAAAGTAACCATATTTTATCACCTACGTTGAATTATGGTTGTTCTATATAATAGGTATATACATTAATTTTTTTTTGTTCTTGAGTTCTCTTTAACTACGCCTTCATTGTTGCATGTAGCTCTAAAAAATGATTTGTTAAATCTTTTGCTGTAGAATTATCAACTTTTGAAAAGTCAAAAGTATCAAATTATAGATGATAACCATAGTTGACAAAGAAAGGTATTTATTAAATGAAAGAATGTACCAAATTATTGTATAAAAATTTTACCAATGGTAAAAAAAGTTTTCCAATCATCTTAATGATAGTTGATGGTACACCTCAAATACTACAACTCCTGATAGTGTTTCAAATATTTTATTTGAAAGAAGTTATGAAGGCCTTAATAAAACTTAATTCATCAATTTTGTTTGCCTATTAGTTTGAAGATGAAAAACCAAAGAGAGCTTTATATCCACCTTTAAAATCTTGAAAAGGATTCTTCAAAATCTTGATATAAACTGAGTCCCCCTATATGATATA